GGGGTTTCACCATGTTGACCAGGATGGTCTCGATCTCTTGACCTCGTGATCCACCCGCCTCGGCCTCCCACAGTGCTGGGATTACAGGCTTGAGCCACCGCGCCCGGCCTCCATTGTTTTTCTAACATATACATTGTTTTTCTGACATATCCTAGTGATAGATTTTTTGGGGATCTCTCCTTCATGACACCAGCCTTAACAGACTGGTTTTAGCAAATATTGGGGAACAAAGAGTCAAAGACCCTGAAGAGCATGACTAACTAACTAAATAAAAAACACCAAATTGAAAACCAGAAGTTTGAAAACAAATCCTGATATTATCTTATTAAGGTTCTATATATATATATATATATATATAGCCTGCTGTCATGCAGATGGATAAGGTTTGATATTTTAAGTAAAATTGCAAGTAAGCTTCAAATCAAATGTCTGGTTTGATATTTAAGTAAAATTGTTCTTTCCATTGTGAGATCCCCAGAGGTTACCTCTTCTGACTTCACTGAGTATATTTATTATATGTATTGTATATATGTTTCAGTCATAGATTTCTACAATGATAATTCCGCATGCCAAGCAACTCCAAATAAGTGACTTTCAACAAGAAACGTTCACTTCTTATTTATGTTCATGGGCCTGTGGGTTGACTATGGCTGCACTGGGCTCAGCTAGGATGGGCTTCAGGCTATGGGAGGTACATCAAAGTCACATGGAAAAGAGTGTAAAAGTTTAATTCTATTTCATCCCAATATATCACCATATTTTCAAAATACTTTGTCTCTCTCTTTCATCACACGTATCAGAGTTGAAATTTTACATTTATTTGTGTAATTATTTCATTACTACCTGTGGCCTCCTGGACCCTTGAGGATGGAAATTATGTTTTGGGCTCACCATTGTTCCCAAAGCACCTGGGACAGTATTCTGGGCAATATTGGGTACTCAGTGAATGAACAGCCATGGGTTGAAAGAATTAACTTCTGATGTACCTAAAAACCATCTCAGGAGTGAAAATGTTTCTTTTTAAGAATCACTGAAGTGATACTAAATGCCTTGTTTCTAATCTTTCAGAAATCCCCTTGCTACATTCCCATTGTGAGCAGTGCCACCCTGTGGGATAGAAGCTCACCCCACGCAAACGTGAGTCAGAAGAGTGCTATGTGCAGGGCGGCTCCATGGTGCCATCCTTTTGGGTTCAGTTGCTTTACACATAAGATTTGTTCCTTTGTATTTTTTGATTTTATAACTAGTAAAGGATTTTTTTAATTTAGAAAATCTTGGATCTCTGTTTGAGAGTCATGCTACCTCCTTATTCTTTACACACATATGTACACTGAGAAAAACCGGTATCATACATCTGATGTCCAAGCACAGAAATCACAGTGCATTAGGGGTGTTGGCAGTGCCTGTGTGTAGCCAACATACAGAAACTAGGGCAATAATTTTATCTTACCGTCATGCATAGAAATTAACAGCTGAGTTCACTAGGCACAAAGTTGACCTGTTAGTAGTGCCTCTCTCCTGTGCCACCTTCTACTAATTGGTTGCTAATGCTCTTTTTCTTGGTGAGAGCCAAAGTGAGTGTCCCTACAATGTGCATATGCATGGCTGTAAATGACTACGATGTGAACATGGAGATGGTCACCATGGCTGGCCAGTCCAGTTGTCATGGAGCTGTGGTAGCTTTCCAGACTCAGTCTCACCAGAGCTTTGTTTACAAAATCGGGATTGGGATAAAAAGAACCATTCAGCCAACACTGAAATTTACATCCTAAGGGCTTTAATCACCTTCATTTCCTTCCTATTTATCATGAAGGGAATTGCAACTTCCTCTAAAAAGGACCACACAGCCCAGCAACACTGATGAAATCACAACATCCCAAGCACATGAGGAGGAGATAGTTTTCTATGGATTTCCATTTTCAAAATTTGTGAGCAAGATGGGCTTAAATTACAGCTTGCAGAAAAGTAGCTTATGGTGACTGGAAATACAATTCTAGCAATCAAAGATGTAGAAAATAACATTTTAAGATTAATGAAAAAGGCCAATAGTAGAAAAGATGAAAAACATGACCTAGTTGAAAGACATGACCTGATTTTCTTACTGTTCTTACTTTGCCCTAAGCAGAGGAATATATCTAAGTAAGGCACCTGAAATATGCTGTTTCATTAGTTATATGTTCATTTGGACTTCAAGGATCTGTGCAGCTGAGGGATTCCATGACTCCCAGAATGAACTATGTTGGAAAGGAAACAGGCCCAGCCAAGTCCCTTTATTGCTACTATTCTACAACTGGTATGTCTAGGTTCATAGAAGGCAACACTTCATGAAGGGAACCACAGATTCATTCTCTCATCAAGGAGTAGTGCAGGTGACAATGAGAGCTGGCATTTAGCTCATACCACCGCAAGACGATACCTCTGAAGCTCACAGACCAGTGCCCCCTGGGTGCCCACTCCTTTCTTCTGATAGCTTAAGTTAGAACAGGGAAGTGAGTGCTGTCCTATATAGATCAGGGCTTGGCATCAGCTAGATCCTCTTTCAGATTGAGTCATCTCTTCCTCTCTCTTTCTTCTCTCTCTTCCTTTCTGTGTTTTTGTGGCTTTGGAGGAATTATAGAAGTAGGACTGAAAAATTTTAAGATGTATATTTTTAAAATACTTTAATATTATTTGTCCTTGTATATAGTAAACACTGTATATTGACTGCCATACACTTTATTGTATATTATACATTGTATATTATGCACTGTACATCAGATATTGTATAGCATATATATTAAACATATATTATGTATTACATACTATCATGTATATCAGAGAACCTGTGTTGTGTATGTGTGTGTGTCTCTCTGTGTCTGTGTGTATGTATTCCAGTATTATATCTTATATATTGTATTTAATGACCACCTAACAATAGTCAGATACTAAAAGCAAAAATCTTTCTTTTTAGGAGAAAAAAATCTTTCTTTTTATGTTGTTCATCAATAGTGAACAACATAAGTAATGGGAAATTATCAGACAAATAAGTCAGGTAATTCAGGTAATTCCAGAAAACTGCTGTGCTATGAAAACTGTAAATTGGTGGTAATGAGGTTGAAGGTCACTTGGGGTGGGAGGAGGGTGCTGCTTTTGCTAGGGTGGTGTGGTCAGGAAAGGTCCTTCTCCTCCTCCTCCCTCTTCCTCCCTCCTCCCCCCTCCTCCCCCCTCCTCCCTCCTCCTCCTCTTCCTCTTCTTCTTCTTCTTCTTCTTATTCTTCGAGTTTGCTGGATCATATAGTAATGCCATTTGTTTTCTTTCCAACTTTCATTTTAGGTTCAGGGGGTACATGTGCAGGTTTGTTACATAAATAAATTGCATGTCATAGGGGTTTGGTGTGCAAATTATTTCATCATCCAGGTAATAAGCATAGAACTTCATAGGGAGTTTTTCAGTCTTTACCCTTCTCCTACTCTCCACCCTTAGGTAGGTCTTGGTGTCCTTTGTTCTCTTCTTTGTGCCCATGTGTACTCAATGTTTAGCTTCCACTTACAAGTGGGAACATGCACTATTTGGTTTTCTATTCCTATGTTAATTCACTTAGGATAATGGCCTCCAGCTCCATCAATGTTGCTACAAAAGATGTGATTTTGTTCTTTTTTATAGCTGCATAGTGTTTGGTGTATATGTAACACATTTTCTTTATCCAGTCCACTATTGATGGGCATTTAGGTTGGTTCTTTGTCTTTGCTATAGTGAATAGTGCTACAATGAACATACGTGTGCATGTGAGGGAGGATGATATTTGAACTATGAGAAAGAGGCAACCAGGTAAAGTTCTGGTCAGCAGAAAGTTCGTGGAGACAGATTGCTCTAAGCAGCAAGACCAGGCAGCCTGAGGCAGGCTGAACGGAGCATGATTAAGAGCAGGAGAACGTCAATGCAGCTGAAAGTGTATAGCAAAGGAGTGGTTGGAGGAATTGGCAGGTATCTGATTACATGGGCCCTGGTGGCCAATGAAAGGAGTTTTATCTTTTCTTCTGGCTTTCAAGCAGAAGCCATAATGAAAGTTCATTTTAAGCCAGATATGGAATCATCTGATTTGCATTTAAGGGATTCAGTGGCTCCTGTATTCAGGATAAATTTTCTGGAAGAGATTTTGAGTCCCATAGGAAGTATTAGGATATTTCAGTGAGGCAGTGGTAGTTAGGAGTAAGTTCAAATTAGTTGAGTAACAAAGAAGTGATTTGATTTTAGAAAGATTTTGGAGGCAGAGCTGATAGGATATTGTAATGGCTAGGTTGTGGGATATGAAGAAAAGAGGAATCAAGAAAGACTTCTAGGTTTGTGGCTCCAAAAACCTGGAGTGGAAGGAGGTGAAAGTAGAGGGGATTTTGAGAATAGATTTTTGGTGGAGATCATCAGTAGTTGTGCTTGGAGAATATTTTGAGTTTCAGGTGCTTAGTACTTCATATCTCATTTGTCAGAACTTAGTCTTGTGGTCAGACTTAGCTGCAAGAGAGGCTGGGAAATATGGTCTATTAACTGGGCACATTGCTGCCTCAAACTTAGGGTTTTGTTACAAAGGATGAAGAGAGAATGGACATTGGGTAGCTGAATAGCATCATCAACCACAGAAATCAATGATAATATTATCCCAAAGACGTTGGAGCTATATGTATGTATGTGTGTGTATATATATATATATATATATATATATATGTATATATATATTTTTTTTTTTGAGACAGGGTCTTGCTCTGTTGCTTGGTTCAGAGGGTGGTGGCATGATCACGGCTTACTGCAGCCTCGACATCCCAGGATCAGGTGTTTGCCTCAGCCTCCTGAGTAGCAGGGACCACAGATGCACACCATCATGCTCAGCTAATTTTAAAAAATTATTCATAGAGACAGGGTCTCCCCGTGTTGCCCAGGCTGGTCTTGAACTGCTGAGCTCAAGTGATCCTCTCGTTTCAAGTGATCCTCTCATTTTGGCCACCCAAAGTGTGGTCATTACAAGCATGAGCCACTGTGCTAGGGCTAGAAATAATTTAATTATTACTTCAAAGAAGAAAAATGATGAATAGGAGAAAATGCTTAGAATTAAATGATAATATTACTAAAAAAGTGAGATGCAACTGAAGTGGTTCTTAGGGGTGAATTTATACCTTAAATTTCATATTAGAAACAAAAGTTGGGAACTAAAGGACTAGGTATTTAACTTAAGGGCTAGTTATTCAAACTAAGAAATAAATCCAAAGAAAGCAAAAAGAAGGAACCAATAAAGAGTAGAAAACACCAAAATAGAAAACAAAAATACAATTAGAGATAAATAACAGAGCCAAAAGTTTGTTATAGAAAGGAGTGAATAAAATAGGCAAACCTAATAAGACTGATTAAGAAAAAAAAAAAAGGGAATACAACATTATGACTGAAAAAGGAAACACAAGTACAGACACTGTGGAGATTTAGAAAATCGAATCAATACTATGAATAACTTACATTGTGTTAATAAGAAAACCAAACCAATGATTTTCTTTTTTTT